GTAATGCTGGTGGGCGGGCAGTCCCTCCGGACTATGCCGGAAGGTAGGGCGGAAGGCCCTCTTCAGCCTGCTTTCAGGAATCGTGGGAATGGGTGGGTGGTGGTTCGGGTGAGAAAGATGAGACGGACGAAATGAAGACAGAAGAGAATAAAAGATTATCTGTGGAATATTACTACCCCAGCATTTGCCTAAGTGGTCAAGATGGCACAATACCTATATAAGGGCGCGCGTTTAGCGCCTCGAGGCTTTTTTCTTATATCTTAGTCTTAATTGCAGTAGTATTTGCCCGGCAATTAGCCGTAAAAATTACCCCTTTTTTCTAATATATATTGGTACGTTCCGATAAAAACGTGTCGAGGAGTTATTGTGCTCGAGTTACGATAATTTGGAATAATCTGTAAAAGTGGCAAGTGATACTATTTGTGCATTTTCTTAATTAATCAACGTAAAATCACAATCGCTGGAGTTGACGACGTCTATTAACCTTGATAATCCACCTGCCCCCTGCCATCTTCCTTTTAGCCGACCTAGATTGGATACCAGGAACCACCAGGAAGCTGGCCAGGTCCATCCTCGTCGAGATCACCGAAGGCTGTCTCCAGGGTCTCCCCAACATCACCAACGACTAAAACTCGGTTTAGGCTAAGTAGTTAGGCGTATAAGATAATTAGTAGCTTTTGTAAGGAATTATCTAGGGATCTAGTCTTTTGCCGAACATCACCCGCGGAAGGTCACCGAAGTGACTGTAGAAACGGCCACCCACGGTTCAATAGTTACAAGCAGATGCAGGTGATAAGAGAGATAGATGTATATTTCGGTGGATATTTTCATTGTCTCACTTGGAGTCCTAGTAGTTCTTCTCAAGCTCTTTACAATGACATTCGAATCAACGTCATAGAAGGAAAGAGTGCAATTATTTGGATGTATTTTTTGTTGGTGAATGCGACTTTGAGCCTAGAATTGTCCTGTACTCTGTATCAGGGATTACATAAAAAGATTCCCTCATTGGTGCTATGTTCTTTGAGCTTCTCTCATTTGACGGTTTCCAATACCGGCTAAATAAATATGTAAATTGAAGTATAGTTTTTACAATTGTTTGTTTGTAATTATAATTGTTCGTAGTTATAATCGTTTCGTTAGGTGTTAAAATGAACGATTTGATTCGATAAAACGTTGGAGAAAAGAAGACGTAACTCTCGGTCGTTAATCTGCACGACAGGGATAATCCAATGTAAATCCCCAATTCTCCTTTTCCCGTTTCTCTATCTCACTGTCCGGAGAGAAACGTAACAAATTTATCATTCCGGTTTCTGCGAGGACAAAATGAACCAGAGTAACTAGAAACAGGAGCGGGAATTTCGAATCGTCGGTATAAAGTTAGTCACGTCCTCACAGTTTACGAACAAGTACATACAAGCTATTTCATTAACTTCCGTTTCCGTTCGCTGCTAAATTACCTGTCATATGCCGAGGTAGTTTTCGCGATTCAGCTTTACCAAGACAATTCATTAATTCGCGAAAACGGCCATTAATCATACTAATAACTTGCTTGCCACTGGAAGAAGAACTACTCGAAATGAGAGCCCACACCAAGAATTATAATGGCGAGCAGATCTGCGGGATCATTTGTCAGTTTCGATCTTATTCTTTTCCTCTTTGTTTTTTGTTTCTCTGGTAGACTAATTTTCCTTGCAATTAAAAGGAAGTAAATTTCACCAGTCGATTATAGAGAAACCCCAGTTAAACAATCAGCAGGTATTTTCCATTCATTTGGAGAAAGGTTCAGCGTGAGCGATATTCACAAATGAATATCGGTCGTAGACGGAATATGACCGGTCGTTTACCGTTAGATGTTTCCGATCAAAGTCCAATCGTAAACCTCGCCGTAAATAACAATTTCCCCCATTAAGGCAAAGTGCCACTATGTATACCTTTCCCCAAGTGAACGGACGCTAGCTAACTACTTTCCAACGCCTATGGATTCTGTCAAATATAACGCCAGCTGCAGATATTCACTGATGATTTAAGGATGTTTGGAAGGTATGTCAAAATGCTACGAGGCAAATAAAAATTTGGAAGAACGTTCCTCATTCAATTCTAAAACTCCTGTAAAAATTATAAATCGATTCACTAAACCGTTAAAAAGTTATTGAAATTTTAAAAAATTGTAATTTTACACGTCATTTTATGGAGATTCGTTAACCGAACAGATTAAATTTATTTTTATTAACAGAAAAAAAGCTACCAGAAATTTCAAACTTTTATAATAAG